CTTTTCTCAGAATGTAATAGAGAGCCACTGACTAGATCAGTTGCTGTGTTCAGTTTCCATGGTGTCATTATCAAGGTCTGTAATAAGTTGCCATATTTTGTCTTATCTGTAAAATGCAATTGATTATCATGTCATTCCTTAGTTTAATTTTGTAGTTGTGGGACTTCTGAAAGTTGTCACCTTAGGTCCTTCATGGAACACACTTTGGTTTATTTGCTTTTTAAAATAAAATGTAGAGTATGAATAATTCTGCAGAAAATATACAAATCACATGTCACATTATTGCTCCTCGTTTTTAATGTTGCTAATGACAGTGGAATCGTGGGGTAATGTGGCCAAAGAGCTTTCAACGTGTGATCTCAAAAAACCTGGGTATGTGTATTTTGAGTTGTTTGTTGACCTTTGTGAAGTTTAGCAGTATCTTATGTTTGATTAGTATCTCATGTTTGATTAGTCTTTTGGAGTTTATAAAATACCTTGCAGATACGTTAGCTCATTTATGGTACAACAGCCTCATGAAAGGTAAGGAAAGTGGACTGATGCCCATTTTATAGATGAATCTGAGAGGAGAATGATATTTGGATCCTTTCTCTTTTCTTTTTCATAAGTCTGGCTAGGGGTTTATCACTTTTAATAATTCTTTCAAGGAACCAACTCCTAGTTTCATTGATCTGTTCTTTTTTTTTTTTTTTAGTTTCTATATCATTTATTCCTGCTCTAATTTTTATTATTTCCTTTCCTCTGCTGGCTTTAGGCTTCATTTATATTTCTTTGTCTAGCTCCTTTAGGTGTAAGGTTAGGTTGTTTGAGATTTTTCTCTCTTGGACTGTTGTGTTTTCATTTTAATTTGTTGCCATGTATTTTTTTTTTATTTCTTCTTTAATTTCCTGGTTGACCCATTCATTCTTTTTTTTTTTTTTTTAGATTTATTTATTCACTTACAGTTGTTAGATCTTCCTGTTGGATAGTCCCCTTTATCATGATATAGTACCCTTCCTCATCTCTTATTATAGTCTTTGGTTTAAAATCTAGTTTGTTTAATATAAGTATTGCTACTCTGGCTTCCTTTTGATGTCTATTTGCATGATAAATGTTTATCCATCCCCTCATGTTCAATGTGCAGGTGTCATTAGGTCTAAAAAGAGTCTCTTGTAGGTAGCATTTAGATGGGTCTTGTTTTGTTATCCATTTTGCCATCCTGTGCCTTTTGATTGGAGCATTTAGTCCATTTGCATTCAGAACTGTTGATAGCTGTGTATTTATTGCTGTTTTATTACTTGTTTTGTCGTGACTGGAGAATTTCTCTGTTCCTTTCTTCTCTTTGTCACTTTTGTTCTTTTCTTTCCACTCAAATAGTCCCTTTTGGTATTTCTTGCAGGCCTGGTTTAGTGGTCACAAACTCCTTTAGTTTTTGTTTTCTCAGAGAAACTCTTCATCTCTCCTTCTCTTCTGTATGATAGCCTTGGTGGATAGAGTATTCTTGGCTGCTGATTTTTCCCATTCAGCACTTTGATTATATCATGACACTGTTCTGACTTACTAAGTTTCTGTGGAGAGATCTGCAGCTAGTCTTATGGGTCTTACTTTGTAAGGTCAGTACTTCTTTTGTCTTGCTGCTTTTAGGATTTTTTTCTTTATAGCTGTATTTTGCAAATTTAATTACAATAAATCTTGGTATTGGCCCACTTTTGTGGATTTTGATGGGAATCCTCTGTGCCTCAGGATCTGGATGTCTGTTTCCTTCCCCAGATTAGGGAATCTTTCAGCTATTACTTCCTCAAATAAATTTTCTGCCCCCTTTTCTTTCTCTTCCTCTTCTTGGACCTGTATAGTACAAATGTTATTTTGTTTGATGGAGTCACTGAGTTCCCTGAATCTATTCTCCTGATCCATAATTCTACTTTCTCTCTTTTGAGGCTTTGTATTTGTCTGTTATTTTACCTTCTATATCACTTATCTGTTCCTCTGCTTCTTTCATCCTGGTGTTCATTGTATCCAGTCTGTTTCAGATCTTTCCTATTGCAGTTTACATTTCTGTTTTTTTTTTTTTTACCTCTTTTATCTCTGTGGTAAGGGCCTCCCTGAAGTCTTCCATTCTTTTCTCAAGTCCAGTCATTATCCTTATGATTGTTGCTTTCAATTCTCCATTCAGGCATATTATTTATATCTGTTTCAGTTAGATCTCTGGTTGTGACCTTATCTTGTTATTTCAATTGGGATGAATTCCTCTGTCTTGGCATTTTGCCTAAGTGTCTGCCTTTGTTAGAAAAACTTGTTCCGTTTCCTGCTTTTGAGTGTATTGGCTTTATGAAGAAGAGGTCATATAGTACCCAGGGCCTGGTGCTTCAGGGCATATGTCTGGTGCATGCTCATGCATTCTGCTGCTTGTTTTGGCTGCTCTGTCCTTCAGGCCAGTTATCTGCAGTCTATCCTTGCCTTCATTGGGCAGCGTTTGGTCCTTGGGCAGAGTGCGGTGAATTTAACTAGGTGTACTCCGGTCTACTTGTTAAATGAGACCCAATACTACTTCCACTAGACCTGAATCTTTGCATAACTCTCTGGTCAGGAGATGTTGTGTGAGGAGGGGTTCCTGCTGGTTTTCTGAGGAAGGGTCCTGTCCAGCTAGGACTGAGTCAAACTTGACAAAGAAGGTCAGTAGGGGTAGAGTGCAGGGGTGTTGGACCTGGTATAAGCCAGTTAGGCAGCCAGTGTAGGTGCTCTGGTGTTTATAGCAGTTGGTTCTTTTTTTATGCTGAGGGGTGGGGGAGGGAAATGGAGCCAGGCAGCTCCATTGTCTCTGGAGAGGGTTCTCAGTACTTGTTCTCAGGAACTCAGTTTGAGAAGAGGGAATTCTCTCCCCCCTGTGTGTCCCAGGTGTTCTTTAGATGACTGTCTGCCCCCAGGTTGTTTGTCTGCCTTCTCTCCAGAATCAGTGCAGTTTGCTCTCCAGGCTCTATCCCAGCCATGCTGTGGATCTCTAAAACTCTAGTCTTCAATCCCTGCTGGTTGCAAAAACTCACAAATCTGCCCCTTTTGTTTTCCCAGCCAGTGGAATGTGTTCCCCTGTATGCTTCTCTCTCCCTTGCCTTTCTCCCAGACCAGGGCTCCCTCCCCTCTACAGCATGAGAGATCTGTTTCTCCCCCAGAGCATGTCTCTGCACTTCCTACCTTCCTCCATGTGACCTCTTCTCTCCCTCTAGTTGTGTAGTTTGTTCTGTCAGTCCTCAGGTTGATTTCTTGGGTATTCAGAATGATTTGATAGTTATCTAGTTGTTTTCAAGGGAGAAGAGCTAGGATCCTTCTATTCCACCATCTTAGCTCTTCTCTCCAGCGCTTTTTTTTTTGACATTTAAGTTATGTTACTCTTTCATTGTAACTTTTTTATTATAGTGTTTTGTATTAATTGTAATAAGACATTTTTTAAGTGTACTCAGACTTATAATTTATTGCTTTTTCCTGGCTTCCTATGTTGTGTTTTTCTACAGATTCAGTTTGTTTCATGTTTACACACACACACACACACACACACACACACACACACACACACAAGCACGCACACCCTTGGCATGTAGAAACCATTTATTCTTCAATAATTTATTAGCACGTCTGTAGAGCAGTGTAGTAGGTGCTGTGAGGGACATATAAGTAGAGATGTTCTGGTCTTCCCTCAAGGGAATTAAAGTCTACTTCAGAAGATAAAGTATATCCTGAACAACCAAAGGACTGTTAAAAGGAACTGATAAATAAATGCAAGGTAAACTGCATGTGTGTATTTTGGGGACATGAAGTAATAGAATGATATGTATGGTTGGTTTAAGGAAGTTTTTGGGGGAAATATTTAAAATTTTTCTTACAGTAGATAGATTGTTAAAGTACGTGCTTATTTTTGAGAATAGGAGAATTACAATATTATGGGGAGTGGGATGAATAACCCAGGAGACACAAATGATATGGTCCAAAACATGGAGATTGGAGTTGATAGATTCAGAGAGATGATATGTCTGAAAACAAGAGCAGTAAGACCAGAAAATAGTTGATAAAGAAGGTGATATGGGTTAGAGGCAGGAAGAAGATTTTATGGGGTAGGGCTTAGAAACCATACAAGGAAGAGCTGCTATAAGTTCTTGAGCAATCAGTTATCAGGTGTTTACTTCCCAAGACCTATCATTGGCATTTTTAGTGTTGCACAGTAGGACAACTCAATGACATGTACGTTCTATGGAGGATAAACCATGAAAGTGAAATGCATAATGCGGTAGATTGAACAGGAGCCTGTTTTATCAGTAGTAATTTTGGAATTGGGACTTCCAGTAGAGTAATAGAACCTTATACTAAAACAAAATAAAGCAGGAAAGAATACAAAGGATCCTCTTAGATACCACATTGTGATAGGCCAACTTATATTTTATGGCAGACTTTTTCTAGCTCTGTCCCATCATCAAAAGTAATAATCTTTGATAACTACCATTGTTGAGCATTTACTAGGTACAGCTAGGCACTGTGACAGGTTCTTTGCACATGATACCATGAAGACTAAACTATTAATCTTCAAAACAATCTTGTGAGGTAGATGCTATTATCCATATGTTATAGATGGATAATTTAGATCAGAGAGGATAAATAACTTGTCTAAGTTCACAGAGTTACCTAATCACAGGGTCAGGATTTGAACATTGTCCTGTTTATTCTGAAGCCTGTGCTCATAAGCACTTTTGATTTGTTTCTAAAATACAATTCCCTTGATGGCATTAAATTCTCAAAAGTACATGTGACAGACCCTACTAAACTCTGAAATCTTGATGTGTATTTTTCAAATATTAATTATGTTTCATATTGTATTGAAACTTTAACAGATGAATGTTTAGTGTGTGGTTCATATAAGGCAAAATGTATACTGAACTTGATAATATAAATGGGGTAAAGAAATAAAAATCACCATTAAAATAATATAAAAATGTCAGTACAATTATCAAAAGTGTGTTATTATGGTTTCTCATTAGTCAGGATTTACATGAAGATGTTGAAGAAGCTGGTGCACTGCAGAAAAATCATGCTTCTGTGATATCTGGAAGCCCCACAGAAGCTGCACATTCCGCCTATCTGCCTTCAGAAGATGAGTCATTATGCACTGTGAGCTGTGAAATGCCCACAGAACAAACTCCAAGCAGTGATCTAGAGCCTGCCCTAGAAATAAACGATGTGGAAGTAACAGGGGAAAAAGAAAAACGTTATGACGATAAAACTTGTGTGAAGTCAGCTTCAGAAGAAGAAACAAGTGAAAATGTGCCTACAGCAGAAGACACTGCATTGCCACCAAAGAAAAATAGGATTACTTACTCACAAATTATTAAAGAAGGCAGGAGATTTAATATTGATTTGGTATCAAAAGTAAGTACTAATTTTCTTCATCTTATCATTAGAATAATACAAATTTTTAATTGATTGAAAATAGCATCTGGGACCATAAACCCAATTATCATAATTTTATTTTTTGAAGTGTGGAACATTTTTTTTTATAAAGAGATAGTAGCCAGAAATTTATAATTCAGTTAAAATATTCTTTAAATACAGGTTTAAAAATGCATTAAAAATGCTCAGTACTGTAGCACAAGAATACATTTGTACTGGAGCAGAGTCCACTCTAATATTCTTCTACTACATGGACACCAAGAAATCTATCAAGAGAAAAATTCTAATGAGCCTAATTATAAATTTATATTTATCGTTAGTTTATTAAATGAACTTTTTTTTAGCCCTTCTATAACTATTTTAACATCTGTATGGGGGCACCTGGATGGCTTAGTCGTTAAGCGTCTGCCTTCAATCTCAGGGTCCTAGGATCGAGCCCCGCATCGGGCTCTCTGCTCTGCGGGAAGCCTGTTTCTCCCACTCTCACTCCCCCTGCTTGTGTTCCCTCTCTCACTGTGTCTCTCTGTCAAATAAATAAATAAAATCTTTAAAAAAAGTCTGTATGATGATCAACATTCTGAATAAACCAATGCATTTTTGAAAATCACCTGTTCAGGTATGAGGGCTTGAGAGGATAATTTAATGGTTGGCGGGGGAGGGAGGCTGGAAACAATGCTCTTCTTCGGTTACGTTTCAGTCCCGAACTCTGATGTTAGGTCAGTGTAACTTCAGAGGAGGTCCCTGAGTCTTTGGAGAGTACAATATTATATTGGGTTTATAGGAAGCAAGGTTAATGTAGTGCAAAAAGAACAGAAAACCAGTAAGGATGGTCTTAAAAGGTTAGATATAGGGTGCACCTGGATAGCTTAGTTGGTTAAATGTCTGCCTTCAGCTCAGGTCTTGATCCCAGGGCCGATGAATAGAGCCCCACGTCCGGCTCCCTGTTCAGTGGGGAATCTACTTCTCCCTCTGCCCTCCCCCTCAACTCCTGTGCATACTCACTCTTTCTCTCAAATAAATAAATACAAATCTTAAAAAAAAAGTTAGATATAGGGCTGGGAGAAAGTAGAAAGAAACAGACTAAATCCCATAAATTGAGAGCAAACAATAAGAAATTAAAAAGAAGTAGGAGAGCATAGTAAATAATATTAGACTTGCTTCAAAACTCAGCTTTTCAATTTAATGTGCTCTCTTGAAGTTCAAGTTACAGAATAAAGAGAGACTAATTGCATAGTCCTCACATTTTGCTGATATAATCCCATATACTCGCACTGCTGCTCTCTTTGAACCTGATGCCTAAAAATACGAGTATATTTTTACTACCCTTTGTTTCTTTCCATCACATAGCTTTCTGTATCTGATTCTGTTCTGCTCTTGAGTTAACTGCTACTTTGGTCCTACTTCATATTTCTGTGCCATCTATTCCACCTTCAGCTACTGTGACCCTGCCGTGCTTTGAAATCTAGCATTTTTTCCATGTTACCTTGGCTATTGATTTCTGGGTGGAAGTTTAATCATAGTTTATTAATGGTTTCCTGTTCTCATGAACAGAAAATAAGTTTTACAAAACCAAAAAATAAAAAAAACTGAAGTAGTCAAGTTACAAATGGGCTTTGTTCTGAAATTTTCATTTTTAGTTAGTTACTTGGACTATGGAATGCCTAATTTAAATGATGATATAAATTTTGGTTAAGAATCAACACTAGTGCGGCGCCTGGGTGGCTCAGTCGGTTAAGCGTCTGCCTTTGGCTCAGGTCATGATTCCAGGGTCCTGGGATCGAACCCCCTGCAGGGAGCCTGCTTCTCCCCCTCCTCCCTGCTTGTACTCCTCTCTCACTTTCTCTTCTTCTCTTTCTCTCTCAAATTAAAAAAAAAAAAAAAAAGAATCAGCAGTAGTTTATAATAGTCTCTAACCCTTATGGTAGCTGAAATACAGTATAAATATTGCAAAGGAAAATGGTAGAAGGTGGTGTATCAGTTTTTGGAATTAGTGTAGGAAATTATTCACTTGTATGAAAGAAAGTGAATGCTGATTGTAGTGGAGAGGGAGATAGTTTAATTAGATGCTAAGATGTTTGAGGAGACTTAAGATTTCTGGGTATTTTCATGAGTTTCAGTGGATCACAATAGTTTGTCTTTTAGGGTAAATTAAAAACAGATGTGTCTAGAGAAGTCAAGGCAGTTTACTTTGTCCTGCATAGTAGTTTTCATGGTTTTATATATTTAAAAAATAATCAATAATAAATTCATCCTACAGAAGCAGCAGTAGCTAAAGAATGCAGAACCATTGCAATATAAGAGGTTTATTATCATTTTTTAGTTTTGAAGTCATTTAGTGAATATTTACTCAGTACCTATGGTCTAGAAAGCAGTACATTCCATGATATTGGGGCAATCAGTTACTCCTTGGAAATTCTTTCAGTTCTAGTTTCAGTTATGGCATCTAAATTTAGGATGATTGCCAAATATCTATTTCAAGCCCTACCTCTTTCCTAAAGTCCAGTTTGATGTCTCCAACCTACTTGACATTTCTACATGCGTTCCATCTCAAAGTCATCATGGTAAAACTGACACACACATTACTGTGGTGCTTTACCCACATAAATATAGCCTTTTAAAAAGTAGTCTTATACTACTCAGGGTAGTTTAAATAAAATACTTACCATTTTTATATAGTGTATATATTATTATTATAGTATAATATTATGCTTCTTATAGTAATAGAGAAAATCAAAGTTGAAGGTCTTAACCAATTAAAACTCTTTTCTAAGAAAGTCCATACCTTTAATAATTATGGAACCAACATGGCCAAGTGAAGCAAAAATGATTAATTATTAAATCTAATTGTCAATATTTTAATCACATTGAAATATTCTTTTTATTGAAGTATAATTAACATACAATATTATATTAGTTTCAGTTATACAACATATTGACTGGACAATTCTATACATTTACTAATTGCTCACCACTATTACTCACCATCTGTCACCATACAACATTGTTATAATATTATTGACTATATTCCCTGTGCTGTACTTCTCATCTCCATGACTTACTTATTTTATAACTGTAAGTTTGTACCTCTTAATTCCCTTTATCTATTTCATTCACCCAACCACAGCCACCCATCTCCTCTCTGGCAACTCCCCAGTTTGTTCTCTGTAGTTGAGAGTCTGGTTTTGTTTCTTTGTTCATTTGTTTTGTTTTTTAGATTCCACATATAAGTGAAATCATATGGTATTTGTCTTTCTCTGATTTATTTCACTTAGTATACTGCCCTCTAGGTCCATCCATGTTGTTGCAAAAGGCAAGATTTCATTCTTTTTTATTACCAAGTAATTCCATTGTGTGTATATATATATATATACACACACAACTTTATCCATTTTTCTATTGAAGGATACTTGGTATTCTTTAGCCTCTCATCACTGAAATTTATGTTACATCACTTAGTGGTGAAAAAGAGGCGTAGGTTTAAATACTTACTTGTTATTACTAAGCTTCAGACAAAAGTTTAGTGTAGTTTTAATTGAAATGTGTTCTCTTCAGTGTTATCTTAAATGCATTATTTTTAAGCTGGCATTAAATCTTAAGCTTTACTAGATCTTATTAAGTGAAAATACATCTTGTGTTTGGTTAATATTTGTGAAATTATTATGACTACTGAGGGATCATTGAATTTCAAGTATTTGTTGAAACGAATTAGGTATTTGAAGTACCTATTTTTTATTATAATTACAGAATACTTGGCAATATATTCTTAAAAACATGGGCTATATCAGTTGTGTAGGGTATTAGGCTGAAGATAATGAATTAACATGCTATATTTAGTCAGGGTAATTGGATTAGTTTCAGAAAAAGAAGCAATGCCAGCTTTGTTCTGTACAATGCTGGACTTTATAAAAATTCACCTAACTGATACTGATTTTCAAAGTCTTTACTGACCTCTTGGATACTCAGACTAACCAGTTTGGATTGATGTTTTTGAAATTCCCTTTTTCTTTGTAGTAAAGCTAATTGTTTTCTTTCCCTCCCCTATTACAGATGTAACATTTACATTTTTAACATTTATTTATAGATACTTAAAGGTATATCATTATAGGACATAGCCAAATTTGTTGCATTTAACCATATGGTTAAATTTAGAACATGCTAGATAATACTGTTGAAGTTGTTTTTGTCTGTCTGATATTGTTTATGAGCGATGTGAATGATTAAATCAATTCCTCACATGCATGCTGGCGATACCCATCATCCTCACTTCTTGAAAAAGACATATCATTTAAATCTAGCCTGCTAGGATGATAGAGGGACCTTAAAATTCAACTCTTGTGGTGGAAATGCATAACCAATCTTTTTCTTTTTTGTTTGGTGAGGAAGTCCAGCGAGCTGGTGTCTTAATGACCACTTGTTGTTTTATAAGGCTACGGTCTCTTATTCAAAACCCTTGGGACTGGTGTGTTCTGTTATTGAGATTTTAAAAATTATTTTAGAAAGTAATACAGTACATATGCTGATATGCTATAGATGATGTAACAACAGTCTTAGCAGAGTCTGAGGAGGCACTCTATAATTAAACCTATTAATATTCCTGCAGTCAAATGTATGAATATTCACAGTAAGTGGGGCAAAGACAGAAGAGCCTTATATCAGTTTGGGTCATTTTGTTGCCAAATTATGGAAAAACTTTGAATTCCAGAGTTTTTTGGGTTTTGAATTTCAGATAATCAGTTGTAAACCTGTTGTAAAGTGTGTTATGTATGACAGTATTAATAGGTAGAATGCTTTTTACAAATATTTAAAAATGTAGTGGGATTATATATATCTTTATTTAGCATTTATCAGTTTTTCCACAATTTTACCTTTTATTTCATCCTGTAAAATATTTTCTTTGTACAGCTGCTGTATTCTCGAGGATTGCTAATTGATCTTTTAATCAAATCTAATGTAAGTCGATATGCAGAGTTCAAAAATATTACCAGGATTCTTGCATTTCGAGAAGGAAGAGTGGAACAGGTACTTTGCTACTGAAGTATTGTAACTGGGTATGAGCTTAAGTTATTATGATATGTTTTGGAAGGATAAGCAAATAGGATTGTTATTTTCCTGGCAAAGCAGCAAATTCCAGTCCTGCATGGTAAAAGTAAATAGTAAGAGATTACTCAGTTAAAATTTCTAGTGTTAATTTTTTCATGAGTTATTCTGCAGCCTGATGTTGGTGTTGAGAAAAGGTTAATATCAGGCAGTATTGCTAGATTTGAGCTGTCATTTGTACCCAGTTAGGGGTGACATGCCATTGGCCTTTTAATGGCATAAGGAGCAACTTGGCAGAACTAAGTAAGAGAGCTCACAAGTTAATTAGCTCTGAGGCCAACAGAGATGCCATTAGAACTGATGGAAGGTAACATGAATGGCTAGAATGGAAATAATGATCTTGTTATAGTTAAAAGGAAAAAATGTAATTTGGAATATTTGTATCACTAGGAAGCAGTTTTTTAACTTAAAATAATGTTTTTCAGGTTCCTTGTTCTAGAGCAGATGTCTTTAATAGCAAACAACTTACTATGGTAGAAAAGCGAATGCTAATGAAGTTTCTTACATTTTGTATGGAGTATGAAAAACATCCTGATGAATATAAAGGTATTGTTTTCTATTAAATTGTGTTCTCTAGTTATTTGAGCTTTCTTATTTTAATATGCTTGCTCTAATGTAGTAAGCCGCTCATTTCTCCAGGAGGTTTGCCATGAATAACATGTAGCTATTTAAATTAACATTAATTAGAATTAAATAAAATTTAAAATTCAGTTCCTCAGTTGGACTAGCCATATTTGAAGTGCTCAGTAGCCACATGTGGTTATTAGCTACTATGGCTACAGTACAGCTATAGAATGTTTTCATCATTGTGGAAGTTTTTATTCTTGTTAAGTAAATACTGCTGTCAACTAGTTCTTCATAGATGATATTCTCTTTTCATTGTTCCATTAATTTTTTTCAGCAGTTAAAAAAATCTGTATATTTTTTTCATTTTCCCAGGATTACTTTTGCTTGGTATATTGAATTATTCATTTTGACTGATTAAGAAAAAGAGGCTAGATGGTATGGGGAGTGTATTAGAGGACATGATGGTTTCTAGTCTTGGCTTTGACCCAAATCATACAGTTACTTTAGAGTTTGTTGAAAATTGAATATCTCCGTTTAGTATCAGAGCTTTATACTTTTTAAGTGCTTTGGGCTGGAAACATTATCCAAAATAGGAATAGTCTATTGATGTTTCATTTATAAGGTTACAATGAGAAATAGAGCAGTTTTGTTTTTTTTTTTTACTTGATGGAATATTAAAAGTCAGGCTCTTGCTCTTAAAGCTTCATGTCCATTAGATACTGCCAAATCGTTCTTCACAGTGGTATAAACTTATGTTCTCTAAGTAAATTTTTATAATTTTTATGTTTTTCTTTTTCATCATGGAGTTGTATTTCCTACCACTAACAGTCCAATTACATTTTTTTCTGTTCTTTAAATGAGTAGTTTTTAGGGGTCCCTTGTTTTGAGGTGTGATATAAGGCAGTAAGACTGATTCCATTAGCCACACAGAAATTAACTTCCTTACTTTTTAGTCATAGTTTATTGTTCTTAGCTTTAGTAAGAAATACACATTTCAAAAAAATTAAGTATCGCTCTATCATTGTTTTCACCAAAAAATTGCCATTTGTCATATTGAATATTTCAAAGTGTAATTATTGACATTATTCTGCAGTTTTAATGATAATAAAGTTAATTATTGCCAATTATGGAAACCTATTGTGATGGTTAATGAATTATTTAATATTTTTCTAATTTTTTTAAGTCTGTAAACTACTAAAGATTCGTTGTTTAAAGCTTAAAAATTGTGCCATTAATTCAGTTAAGATAGTGAGATTGTTTCTAGTTCCTTTTTTTCCCCTAAAATCTGTGGTTTCTGTCTAAAATGTAGTATTTACCACCTGGGTCCTTTGCCAAGTGTTTTGAACAGGCTTGATCTCTTTTGTGCAGTGTTTTTTAAATTGGAAGTTTGGTTCTGATTTTAACTGATAAATTTTTATCTTTACATAGCCTATGAGGAGATTACATTTTCTGAGTATTTAAAAACTCAAAAATTAACCCCCAACCTCCGGTACTTTGTCCTTCATTCAATTGCAATGACATCAGAGACAGCCTGCAATACCGTAGATGGTCTCAAAGCTACCAAAAACTTTCTTCGCTGTCTTGGGCGGTATGGCAACACTCCATTTTTGTTTCCTTTATATGGCCAAGGAGAACTTCCTCAATGTTTCTGCAGGTAAGACTGGCATTGGTTCTCTTGTTTCTTCTTAAGGTAATAAAAGATGAAAATTAAAAAAACAAAAATGAGATTTATTCAAGATTTAGTATATGCAAGCATACTTTGTTGTTCTGCTCTTTTATAAATCTATGTATTTGCCTACCTACCTATCTGATACTCAGTTTGGCCTGTGTTTGAACTTCATAAAATAGAACCCCACTGTAAATTCCTTATTTCACTCAATATTATGTTTCAAAACATCATCCTTGTTTTGCATAATTAGAGTTACTTTCATTGCTATGTAGTATTCCATTGTGAATAGACCATAATTTATTTGTCCATTTTTCTTTTGGTAGAGACAAGATGTTTCCAGGGGGTTTTTTGTTTGTTTGTTTTGGTTTTTTTGTTTTGTTTTTTGCTGTTATTAACATCTTTGTGTATGTTTCTGGATATATATGCTCAAGAATTTCTCTAGGATACATATCTAGGAGTGGAATTTCCAAGTCATGGGGTATATGAATGTTCATACAAGATAGTACCCAAATTTTTCTCCAGAGCACTGTAACAGTTTACATCCCACAGCAGTATATAAGAATTTCCATAGGTCTACATCTTTGCCAACATTTGTTATTAGGTTTTTAAGTTTTTTTCAGTCTGACTCACATAAAATAGCCTCACATTATACTTTTATTTTGCATTTCCTAGACTACTTAGGAGGAGGAGCATCTTCTCATATGGTTATTTTATATTCATGTTTTCTCTTCCGTGAAATGCATGTTCCTGTGTTTTTCCATTAGTCTCTTGTGTTACTGTATTTTCCTTATTGATTTGTAGGAGATTTTGTTCTGAATACTAATCTTTTCTTAGTTGTATGTGTTGCATATATCTTGCTTTATGGTATTCATGATGCATGGAGGTCATTAAGATTAATGTAGTCAAACATAACAATCTTTTCTTTTTATACTTAGCACTTTTAGGGTAGTGGAGCATGGTAGTTAAAAACCTGGACTATGGAGACAGACTACCAAGATTTAAGTCCTGGCTTCTCCATTCATTGGCCATGTAACCTTGAGCAAGTTTTACAGTCTATTATGTTTTCGAAGAATCAACTTTTTGGCTTTTTGATTCTTTCTATTACAGCTTTGTGTTCCTAGTTCATTAATTTCCATTCTTTATTATCTCCTTTATTTTACTTACTTTGGGTTTTGTTCAGTTCATCCCTCCCCTTTTCTGTCCCTGCCAATTCTTAGGATGAAACCCAATGTTAAATGTTAAATATCGTTTTTATTTTCTAATATAAGCATTTGAGATGATAAAGTGCCAACTCCTCTTTTGACTCTTCACAGTTATTATGTATTATTTTCATTATCTTTTAGTCCTAAATATCTTAATTTCCATTATGATTTCTACATTGACCCATGGATTGTTGAAGAAGGTTTTATTTTATTTTTTAAGATTTATTTATTTGACAGAGTGCACAAGCGGGGGGGGTGGGAGAGGGAGAAGCAGAATCCCCACTGAGCAGGGAGCCTGATGTGGGGCTCGATCCCGGGAGTCCGGGATCATGAACTGAGCTGAAGGCAGGCGCGTAACCCACTGAGCCACCGAGGCGCCCCATTATGAGAGGTTTTAAAATAACTGATTTGGTTGATTCTTTTGCTCTTACCATCTAATTTCATTGTAGAAAATTAAGTTACGTCTGGAAAATGTTTTTTTTTATTTAAGTTCAATTAGCCAACATAGTGTGCATCATTACTTTTTGATACAATGTTCAGTGATTCATTAGTTGCATATAACACCCAGTGCTCATCACATCACGTGACCTCCTTTAATGCCCATCACTTGGTTACTCCATCCCCCCACCCTCCTCCTTATCCACAACCTTCAGTTTGTTTTCTGGAGTCAAGAGTCTCTCATGGTTTGTCTCCCTCTCAGATTTCTTCCCATTCAGTTTTTCCTCCCTTCTCCTATTGTCCTCTGCCCTATTTCTTATATTCCACATATAAGTGAAACCATATGATAATTGTCTTTATCTTATTGACATATTTCACTTAGCATAATACCCTCCACTTCCATCCATGTCGATGTAAATGGTAGGTATTCATCCTTTCTGATGGCTGAGTAATACTCCATTGTATATACGAACCACATCTTTATCCATTCATCTGTTGAAGGGCATCTTGGCTCCTTCCACAGTTTGGCTATTGTGGACATTGCTGCTATGGAAAACATGTTTTTATGGTATTAATACTTCGAGCTTTATGTTATGACTTAGTATGTCATCAATTTTTGTAATTTTTCCATTTATGTTCAAGAAGAATGTGTTTAGTTCTTGGGCACAGGGTTCTCTAATTATTGGTCTTGGAGTCTAATAAGGCAGGCTTCAAGTTATAATTTGCAAATTTTTTTTGTAATTTGCAAATTTTGTTGAGTTTTTTCCTTTGATCTACCAGTAATAAAGTATTTTAAAATCTCCCATTATGATGTTTGATTTCTCAGTTTCTCCCTATAGTTCTGTCAGTTTTTACCTTATATTTATTTTGAGGCAATTTGTTAAGATCATTTAAATTTATAACTGTTTAATCTTCCTGATGAATGTAATATTTTACATTATTTGCTGACTTCTCCATCCCTAATAATGAATTTTTTTTCCTTAAAGTCTACTTTATCTGATATTATAATAGCTACTACAACTTATTAGTGTTTGCCTGTTTTATCTTTCTCCATCTCTGAGTCTTCTGAGTCTGTATTTGGGGCTCTCAATAGCAAATTATTACATATTTTTAATCCCATTTGACAATCTCTGTCTTACCAAGCAGGATGAATCTTGTTAATAGGAGTCTGTTCCTTCCTTTTGAAGTATCTAATTTTAAAAGTTCCTCTGGTTTACATCTGTTGGCAGTAAATGCCTAGTTTGTATATGAACATAACTTTTTTTTGTCTTTTTGTTTTGAGGGAAGATTTGTGAGGAAATCATTTCTAGGTTGGCAGTTCTTTTTCTCAGTACTTTAAAATTTTATTCCACTGTCATTTGGATTCCTTCTTTTGCTGTTGAAAAATTGATGTCAGCCTAATTTTCACTTCTTTATAAATCATATTTCTTTTCTCTCAGGTTGTTTTTAAGATTGTTTTTGGTGTTCTGCATTTTCACTGCAGTGAATTTAGGTGTTTCTTTAGCTTGGTATCAGTTAAATCATGTGTAATTAGTAATATTAAACCATTTTGACCTACAATTCCATATGGTTCAAACAACTTCAATGTATTTCCTCTATCTGTGAATTGTCATTTATCATTTTGGAAAATTGTCAGCCAGTATCTTTGCAAATACTGGTTTTCCTCCATTGTCTCTCTCCTTCCTTTTTTGGAACCCTAACTAGAAATGTTTTAGAATTTTGCATTCTCTCATCCCTATTTCTTAATCTCTTTCATACTTTCTATCTCCTTGTCATTCTGGCTATATTCTGGGTACTTTATTAAGATCTCTTTTCCAGTTTATTAATTCTCTCTGTTTGTCTCTGATCCTCTCATTTTTTTACTTCAATATTGTAGTCTTTCATTTGTAGAAGCTCTGCTCCTCCTCTCCCCAGATCTTTCTTGTTGTTTGATATTTTCTTTTGCTTGTTCATTTTGTTCATATATCTTAAATTCTGTTGATTCATGTTATTGGTTTAGTTTCTTGTGCCATGCTTATCTTTGAGAGTTTATATTTGATTGGTTTTAATCTTTGGAAATCTGGGGACCCGAATTAAGGATGCTTTCCTTCAAGGATTGTGTTTGCTTCAGCCAGAAGGCACTAAGATTTGGGACTATTTCAGCTCCTTTCAGGGGATCCTTTCTTTTTTTTTTCATTTAAATTTAATTAGCCAACATACCGTACATCATTAGTTTCAGATGTAGTGTTCAGTAATTCATCAGTTGCATATAATAAGGGGATCCTTTCTTATTAAAGGAACCCCAGGTACAGTTCCCACACTGATTAATATGAGCAACAAGACTTTTTTTTAACATAAAAGTAAAACTTTATTAGAAATGCATCTCTTAGAATAAACACATAGTTACTAGACTGGAGATGGGTGGGGGAATGGGTTAAATAAGTGATGGGGATTAAGGAATGCACTTGTGATGAGCACCAAGTATTTTATGGAAGTGTTGAATCACTATATTGTACACCTGAAATGTAAAGTTACATTGTATGTTAACTAACTGGAATTTAAATAAAACTTAAAAAATGCATCTCGTAGTGACATAACTGTTTAAAAACATGGTTCATGTATCTTGGGAAGAGTGTTACTTATGGCTAGAATGAAGACTTGCTTTTTTTTTAATTAAGATTTTATTGATTGATTGATTGACAGAGAGAGAGAGAGTACAAGCAGGGGGAGCGGCAGGGAGAGGGAGAAGCAGGCTCCCACTGAGCAGAGAGCCCGACATGGGGCTTGATCCCAGGACCCTGGGATCATGACCTGAGCCGAAGGCAGACGTTTAACCGAATGAGCCACCCAGGCGCCCCAAGACTTGCTTTTATTTAATTGCAGTGTTTTGTTTTGATTTTTTTTTTCTTGAAGCTTTGAATTTAGCTCAAGGTTTTTTGTACTGTGTGTGTGTATTTGGGGTTGGGGAGTTTCTTGTAGACATTTCTTTCAATCTCAGCAGTGCAATAAAAGTTATGCTTAATGTAAAAAGTCATTTTTTTTTGGGTAGAAACAAGAGGTCCCTTCACAGTATCCAGTCCAGTATACTGCTGGAAGTAGATATTCTCCTGTACACATTTCTTAATCATGCAGAGGTGAGAATGTCATAAATTTGAAAGTAATTTAATTCTGAATATGATAGGTCTGTGTATTTCCGGACAAACTCTTCCTTCTCCAGTTACTTGCCAAAGTAGGCATGAATAGGGACTGTCATTTCCCACAGGACCAGGGGTCCTCCTATCAATTTAAACTAAGAGGGAGGTTTTCTGGTTTTGTTAATCATTCTTTTTCTCTTCCTGTGGCATTGCCTGATGTAAAAGGAGCCAC